CCTTCCATGTCTGCTGCGTCCTGAGAGCAAAGAAGCGGAGGCGACCGGCAAATCCGACGAATCGCTCGGTTTCTTCGGTCTGCCGTTGTTATTATTGTTATTGTTCTTGCTGCTACTGTTGTTGTTGTTGTTGTTGTTGTTGTTGTTGTTGTTGTTGTTGTTACTGTAGTTGCCTGTGGCTGTGCCGGCATTGACGTTCGCGTTACTCTGAAAGTAATGGGTTCCGGTCCTGATGTTGATGTAATATTCCGGCGGATAACTGGTCCCGGGTGAGGTACCGTCCGTCGAGTATCCGGTACTGTAGGCGCTTTCCGGAGAAGAGAGGTTGACGCTACCGGTGCCCGCGGACGTACCAGAGGACGCGGTCACGGTACCGCACCGATTACCATCCTCTCCGTGCAATCGAATTTCGTCCACGTTCCTCGACGGCGAATCTACCGGATGAACCTGCGAATCCAGACGATCTAAAGTCGGCAATCGTTCTCACGGTTCTTGCGAAATCGAGGAGGGTCGGAAAATCGCGCGAAGGCTGATATGGAAGAGAGTTGCGCGATGGAAGCGATCTGGTAAAGCGCAAGAAAGAGTCGACTCCCGTGTACAATCGGTATACGGTCTAATTGGATAGCAGTTGGCTGCTAGAGGAAAGCGAATCGACGGAAGCAGAAGGCGAGAGAAAGAGAGAGAGAGTGCGATGCCGTTGCCCGTCTCTCGTCTCTTCGCTCGTTTGCTCCGCGACTCTCGTTTTCACGTTTGAGAGAGTGGAGGAGACCGTCGCGGCAAAACAGCACCAAAAGAGGGTTTCGTACGGTCCACGTCGAAACATACTCACTTGGTGCAACGCGGGAGACCTGTGAGACCCGTTTCGAGGAGAATTGGAATTGGAGTCGAAACCCTTTTCCCCCTTGCCCTTTCGGTCCTTTTTCTTTTTCGATCGCACGATATGTGCTTCCATCCATGTGCGCAGTTTCGTTCCAAACATGATGCGCGACGGTGATGATGATCGGCCAACGGTGCGCGAGGCTTCGTTCAAAAATCAGCTGTCCTGCCGCCGTGTTGGAGATTGCAGGTCTGTTGCGGGATCGTCGAATTCGACTCGCGTTCGATCACGGCGGT